GTGTCTTTCCTCCTTCCTGCTTTTTTGTGGGGTTGGCTTTTAACTGTGCTATGAAACATCACAAAGGGTTTTTATTTAGGTATGAAACATGGTCTTTTAGCTAATGAATGGTCAAATGTCACCCTTTTATTTGCAGGATAACCACACAAGGTGTTTCTAAGCTCTGCTTTGGAACAAGTGGCCTGAAACCCTCCTGGGGACCGGGATGGCTGAATTGTTTTGATGATACTGTAGAACTAAGTGATAACAGTGAGCTTGCTTCCTGCAAAGCCATGCCAGGAACACGGAATGTGGGAGAAGTCACAGTGCAGCCACTCTGTCTCTTATCCAGCCCTTAGAAACTCCTCACTGCTGCCCAGCCCTCTTTTGGGAACTAGATATGAATAGACTCAGTTGACTTCAAGCTCAAGAGAGTTGATTTATCATAGGATCATCACAGAATGGTTTGGGTTGGAGGGACCTTAAAGATCTTCTAGTACCAATCCCCTGCCAACAATCCCTGGTACTTTTAATCAGCAGGAGGCTCATATCCACACAGTAGGAATGTATTTGGGTATTAGGGTGGGAAGCTGCAGGCTGTAGGGGACCTAGCGCCAAGGAGAAATATTCCAGGTCTTCCTGCAACCATGGGATGCCTGTTTTTCCATGGAGATGCTCTTGCAGATCAAAAGGAGACCCTGAAGTGCCAGTTCAGTTACGATAACCTTAGTGAGCAGAAATCCCTCGCACACAGCAGTGCTGAAGGCATGAGGAGATGCTGCAGAGCCCTGGGCTGGATCCTGCCCGGAGCTATGCACCACCCTACTACCTGCTGCTGGTGTCTGAGCATTCACAAAGCCCCACATCTCCACACTGACGTGCTGGGGTCCCACACCAATTCCAGCAGCCTGGCCCATGCTGCCAGCCCACATGTCAGCGTGCACCAACAGCACAGGGACAGGCAGGGTTAGATGTAAGGAAGTTCATCCCTGGCAGTGCTCAAGGCCAGGTTGGACACAGGGGCTTGGAGCAACCTGCTCTAGTGGAAGGTGTCCCTGCCCGTGGCAGGGGTTGGAGCTGGATGAGCTTTAGGGTCTCTTCAACCCAAACCAGTCTGGAATTCTATGATTTTAGGAAGCATCAAAGCCCCTTGGGTGCTCAACCACCTCTACTGCTCAGCACATCCTCCAGGAGAATATTAGGATGTTTGTGAGGCTTTTCCCTGAAGAATGGTCCTTGCAAGCTGTTACAGTGACAGAGGCAGAGGAGTAGGATGCTCCTTTCTCTGTCTAGTAACTTGTGACACATTTTATCCCAGGGGATGATCCCACCCCACAATAAAAGGCCTTCTTCCAGAGGCCTGCTCCAGGCTTTTGAGGGTGGGCTGCAGAAGGACACAGCTCCTCCATGCTGCCAAGACCTGGAGCACAGGCAGGTGCTGAAGCTGGGGGCTGGAAACCAAGATGGGAGCATGGACACAAGATCCTAGCACCAGCATTTTGGGATGGTGTGTTACAGCAGCAAGACCAAAGACTCCAATGGGCAGGGACAGGCTTTTGGCTTTCCAGATGCTCCCAATGTGCTGGTTTGTTCTCTGATGGAAAGCAATCCACAAATCACATCCTCCTGCTGCTTTGCCCATAATCTTTTCCTTCTTAGCATCCTGCAGGGCAAGTGAGGCTCAAAACCCCAACTTCCCTGCATTGTGTTGACTCTGAGGCATAGGATACAAAGGGTTTATAGTCAAAGGAGGTCACCCTTCCCCTCCTTGCCTCTTCCCGATGAACACGAGTGTAACCTTGTGTGATACCTTCATCTGCAGATCACTTTGCCTCGGTCTCAAAGTCCAGAGAGAGAAGAATTTGAATGGAGTTTAGTGAATCAAGCAAACAAAAAAGGCTGCGCAGAGCCACCTTCTGCCCACCAAAAGCACTCAGGAAGAACACAGCAGCTTAAAGGCTGAATAAAATATACACAATTTATTTATAGGAGGTTTACAGCTGTACAACGTTGGCTTTCTGTTTGGACCACCCTCTGAACTTGTGCAGCTTGACACATCAGTGCCTTTGGAGATGAAGACAAGTCAGCCTGTTTTTAACATGCAGACATCAAAAAGAGATGGATTTCACCGAGTGTAAGTGCAGGCTACTTGCAACCATTGAAATGATTAACAAAAGACATGGAAAAGAAATCATGGACATGCCCTACAGCACCTGGGAGGGAGTGGGAAGTGCTTGTCAGACCTGCCCTCCTCTCAGACATAAAGTACTTCTCTTTACTTCATTCAAAGAGAAAAGGTACCAGTGGTGGGAATGGCATTTGAATAACTGCCCTCCCTCACCTGCTCTACAAACAAGGGAAGAAAGCAAGCAACAAAGGTAATTCTTGTAATTCCATTGGGAATGTTGGGGAAGGCTCCTGGACTAACTTTCCAAAAGTTTTTGGGGAAAACCAAGAACGAGTATTACTGATATTAAGACATTTTGGTCCTGATATACTGATATTTTAGAGGAAGCTGTGAAAAAAGCTGCCTTTCCTCTCTTTATGGCTTGATTCTCTGTAGGAAGGAAGGAGGCTGCTCATGGGTACCAGGGCATGGCTTCTCCTCAGCAAGCTTCAGCGCCATTCCCTGGGGATCATGGTGTGGTTTGGCACATGTCAGGGCACTCCTGGCCAAATAGGTCTCCTTTGCTGAAGCTATCAGTAGCCTGGTTTACTGACGAAACAAGGCTCATGCAGGCAGGCTGGCTGTCCCCCATCTGCTGCCAATGGTGCAAAGCTCCTGTGATGGTGCTGTGATGCTCTCCTTTAGCTAAACAGCTCTTCTCCCTGCCAGGAGAAGTATCTCTAAAGGGGGCTACAAGGATGCTGGAGAAGGACTCATCATCAGGGACCATAGTGATGGGACAAGGGGTGATGGGTTCAAACTGAAACAAGGGAGATTTAGGTTAGACATAAGGCAGAAGCTCTTCCCTGTGAGGGTGCTGAGACGCTGGCACAGGGTGCCCAGAGAAGCTGTGGCTGCCCCATCCCTGGCAGTGTTCAAGGCCAGGTTGGACACAGGGGCTTGGAGCAACCTGCTCTAGTGGAAGGTGTCCCTGCCCGGGGCAGGGGTTGGAGCTGGAGGAGCTTTAAGGTCTCTTCCAACACAAACCATTCTGAATTCTATGATTCTATGACCTTTGGGTCAAAGTCTCACTTTGCCAAACTAGGAGCATTTGGGCTGATTCTGCAAGATGCTGATTGAAACCAAGTCCCAGTGATGGCACCTGGAGTTGGAGGATGCTCAGAGCAATCCTGGAATTATTGAGACCTGGAAGGAGCATCCCGTGGGCCACTGCTTGCCTCTAAGTCCTGAAAAACAAGACCTAAATAAGCAATTTGGTCAAACCCCCAATTCTTAACCATCTGAAAGTGAGAAAAGGGTAAAAACAGCCTGCAAAACTCCATGAAGCTGTACCATATGCTCCTGGATGCACCAAGAATTTAGCTGGCGCATAATGTGACTTTGGGGAACACCATGAAACAGACCTAGCACATCTTTAAGGACTTTAAAAACAAATACAGTCTTGCAGCACAAACACGGGCATTTAGTAGGACAAGCAGGAACCCTACTTGCTATGGCAAAAGGAGGCTTTGCTGTTCACTCGTCCTTATCTTACCAAGATTAAATCCTATGCCTTCATTTCCACTTGCATGAGGTGAGTACTTGATAGAAAATCTGACAGAGCAATCCCTTAACTTGCACCATTTTAAAGGCACATGAAGGAAACAAACCCAACCTAGACATGAGAAGGAACTGCTTCGAAACCTGCTGCACCACCAGCCAAGGCTTTGCTGTTCGGCGTGTCTGGGATGGTTCATAAGAAGCCGGATTCTGCCACCCAGTGGAACAAAGATCAACTTCATGGCAAACAGGAGCAGACCATGGCCCTGAGGATGCGTTTTGGGTTGTGCTTGCGAGACCGGCTCTAGCACTGTGCAACTCATCCTCCAGGCCAGGAGACTGGAAAAGGAAAGGCGAGAGATGGACACTGGTATGAATTAAACATTCCCGGCACTGTCAGGCTGCACTGGGAGCAGCGCTCCTCTAGCACAAGCTAAAATCCCACTATTTTACAGAGGAATTTGGGAAAGCGAGGCACTGAGAAATGGTGCAGCAGTAAAAATGGAGCCCACTGAGCAAAGCTCCCCATCCCTTGGACCTGATCATTTGGCCTTCAGAGGAATTGATCTCCTCTTATCTAAACACTGAATGGCCCCAGCAGACAACCCACCCCAGCTACAGGAGTGAGCTCTTGGGATGGGGACTCATGAAGACATGGAGACAGCAGGCACTACGGCAGTTCTAGAGGCACACACAGGAGCTGAGACCAGAATGATTCCAGTTGTCCCATCGTGGTTGTTGGCATCTTCATATCCTTCAGAGTTGCATGGGGTTGAACAAGACTCAAGAAGAGACAAGGCTCAAGAGGAGACAGCTTGCCCCTAAAATGATAGAGCCTTTAACTCGTTACCCCTGTGGATTTGGGATATGGGACTGCCTTGGTGCACCCACCTTCCAGTTGCACTATGCAAACCCATACACAGAGAACATCCAAAAGGCCCCAGTCTCTTTTTCCACTTCTCCTTCACTGAGGTGCCTCCAAAATAAGCAATTAAATGGCAGTTTCAGGGGAGATGACAACTCTTAAACCAAGCAGACACACTGAAGGTGCATTGAAGCAGCTGGTGGGACCACGGTGGCCACACGTGTGCACGGTGGCACGTGTGTGCAGCCTGTGTAAACAAACAGGGCATTGTGCTCTGGCCGTCAGGACACGCGGCGATCCCATGGGACACACGGAGGCGATGGGGGCTGCAGGAGAGAGGACGCCAGCAGAAGGATCATTGTGGTTCCTCAGAAAGGCACCATTTGTCACCATTGAAAACACAAGATTGGCTCCTTTGAGTGGAATGCATGCATAGTCCATATACACTTTGCAGATGGTAGGTAGGCTCTGTGTGTGTGTATATATATGTATGTGTGCAGGTTTATATACACATATGTGGCACCAGAAGAAGAGTCCTTGAGTACTCAGACATTGGTGAGGATGTTACTGCTGAGCAGCCTCACAGCGATGGTTCCAGGAAGATCATTTGATCTCTTGTTCCCCTTGTCCTGGAGGTGCAGTGTGTGCACTGCCTGCCGGTCACTTGGGTCCCCCGTGAGCACCACTTGGCCCAAGAACTCGTCACTTATTAAGTTGTGGTTCCAGATCTGGGGAAACAAAGCAGAAATGAGGGCAGCTCCTTGAGGGATGCAGCCAAGCTTCATGCGCTGGAGAAGGGTTTATTGGGGACCAGCTCTGAGCTGGAGGCATGGAGGTGGTCAAAGTTTGGGGTTCGCTCTGTGAGAGGGGTGAAGGATGTGCATTTAGCAGATGCACATGGTGGTGGGAGGTTGAGCTGCATGCACTGATGATGCTCAGCTGTGGGAAACAGACCTGCTGTGGATAGTGTGAGGAGAGGGCAGTTGGGAGGGTCCAAGTGAAAGAGGGTCTCCATCCTTGGCTCACTGTTACCTGAACAATGATGGGTTGTCCTGGCTTCTTGCGGTAGAAGAGCCCTTTCACATCAAACTCTGGAGACACCGTGTTCTTCTTCACTGGAGAGCGAACTTTCTGCCCTTCACACTTAATGATCACATAAGGGTCAGCTCCTGGGGAGAGAAAAAGGAATTTCTGCTTTGTTGTAGCTCCTGTTACTCCTCAGAGAACTTTTCCAGGGTTGCTATACAGCACTTTGCCTCCATACCCCAACAGAGGAGATGGATATGTGCCAAAGAGCTCATCACACCCCAGATGATGTCCATGAAACTCAGTTGTTTGGCTCAGGCTTACTTCTGTTAGGCACCACTGTCGCTGGACAACAAGTGGTGATGGATTGTTATGAAATAGCCTCTTCCTTGACCTCACATTCTACATAAACACTCTTGCATCACTCCAAATCCTCCTGACCTTTGGGATCAATCTTTAATGGAAGACACCACCCTGCTCAACTCTCCTTTCAGCATTTGCTCTACTGAAGCAGGCAGAAAGCAAGTCATGGACAAGAGAAACAAGCTCACAGAGGTTGTTTCATGCACAAAATCACCAAAAAAGCATGGGTCTTCAAGCTGCAGGAACCCACTTGCACCTCACATACTCCCAAGCCAGGCTAACCTTGGTTTTACTTTAAGGTGATGATGACTAGCTACCTCAGCAGGGACCATGCTCTTCATCCCAATGGACAAACCATGGGCCCATCTTACTCCTAGACTTAGTGAGACTCAAATGCTGCAGGAGCTGTCAGTAAAATGACTAATGTTGGGGTAAGAAAAAGAGGTGGTCAAGGTGATGAGAGATGGTACAATGCTGAGCCAGAGCTAAGTGTCATGATGTGCTCATTTATGAGAGACAAAAATGAGACCATTTGGGCACTGGGAAGGTTTGGTGAGCAGCCAGTGAATGGGGAGCCTTATGATGGCAATGTATTTAAAAGGCTTTTAAAGAGGTGAAGATGGTTCTTCAGTGTTTGCTGTGGGCAAGAATTCAGGGAGAAGATCAAAATGTCAAAAAGGATCATTGGTGATAGTGGGAGATATGGGGAAGAGAAAGATTAGGCATTGAGGGGCAACCATGGGAAATGAGTGGGAACTGGAGAAGGAAGTAAGTGGGAAAGGAATGTTACTGCAATATCCCAGCTGGAGCGAGACAGTCATAGGGAACAAGCAGGCCACAGAGATGAACAGTAAAGTTACCAAGTTTGGAGACTACCATCCCACAGATGGATGGTACCTGAGCTTCCAGGAAAGGGGAAGGGTCCCTCACTAGTGATCATTTTCCCCTTATGAAATGAGTGCTTGTTTTGGGAATTCCAGTAGAGAATGAGCTATTCCTATGGGAATTCCACTCCCAGAATGCATTTTCTTACCATGAGCTATAATGGAAACCCAGACCAGGTGGATGAGTTTTCTTCTCCAAGGGAAATGTGGAAATGAGAAGGAACAAACCACCCCCTTCTGAGGGCCAGGGATTTAAGAACCACATCTCTGATTGCCAGACCACCTCCTTGCTTTCTGTTTGCAAGGACCTGGCTCCCTGGTGAGACACAGCTGCTGGATTTCACAGCTGTTGTTCCAAACTAGCCTTGTCCTTCAGGATGTCCCATTGGATCTTCATATTCCATCAGCTGGAGCCAAATTCCTATCTGGAAATCACTGTTTCCAAACCAGTGTGAAAGGCCTGGACTGGAAGATGAGAGAGATGCTATTGCGCTGGAAAGACCAAACATGCAGCTTTTTGTTGGGAGCTGAACAGCTGGAAAACAGCTGGAAAAAAGCCACTCCCAAGGGCTTCTTGCTGAAAAGTACTGTTTTATGGCTCCAGAATCCATCTTTGTCTCCAGGAAAGATAAATCTTGTTTCTGTGAACAGTTCAGAGACCTTTGGCTACAGATTTCCCTTCATTGCTACAGATACACTGGGATGTTGTGAGTAACCCCAGGAAAAACAACCTCCCTATGGTCAAATTCCCTCCCCAGAAGACAGGATAGAAGGATTCCCTTTGTGGCATGTGGTAAACAAGCAAATGCTTGCTGTAAGGAAGGCTCCTGCTCTTTACTTTCAGGGCTCTAGTGATGCACAGCCCTGACAATAATGTTTGGATGAAAAAAAGTAACTTTTTCACGTAGATCTTTTAAATTTTAAGGTTTTGAGCTTTACACTTTAAATTTGGCTTGGAAGTGCCTGGTTAAACCTTGCCACATCCAACATATGTCCTTGACTCAGGAAGTGGAGGAGAAAGGCTTAGATCTGGTCTGTTCCTTTGGTGAAAAGGCATCTCTAATCACAACCTCTACACCTTTCATCCCTATTTCAATGATCTCCCAGTCCAGGTCTCCACCAGCCCTGGGTTTCTTGGTCCCTAGGATGGACTGAACGTGGGGCTCTTGCCATGAGTTTCTACGTGGCTGCAGAACACAGTGATCCATGGTGCTGCTGCTGCCTTTCATGCAACAGAAGTGTTGGATGTCAAAATTGCATCTGAGCAGGGTAGGAATGAACCTTTAGAGGACCAAGGAGGTAGAAACACGGTGCACAGTGGTGGTGGTGGTGGCTCAGGTCATCTCAGAGGGTTCCTAGGAGCCAAGCATGGAGTGGGACTTACTGGAAAGGCTCTTGATCCACACCATCCCAAAATGAGCTAAATTTGACCTGCTCTCTGCTGAGAGATATTTATCCAGCCTCTGGTGGTGAACACTGCTCCAACACATCAGTCCCATTGCTCCTCTGTCCTTCCTACTAAAAAGCCTTTAAATATGATTCCTGACTTTTAAAGCTACTTATACTCAGGAAGAAAGCCTGGGTTTCTACAGGACCACTGCTAAGGGCATTGGAGAAGTTTTGGGAGGATCTCCCAAGGATCTTACACAGCAGCCTAAATGTAACAGTTCCCAGATCATGTCCACATTGATTCTCCATGGACTTTCTCCTCTGGTGTCTGAATCAGGCACGTTCACTGAAAAACATAGCTGAGAACGTAACAAATCCCAGCAACCTCTCACCTCATGAAGCCACCTCCTCCTCTTCCCACTGGAACAACCACCTCTCAACTCCTACAGGACTGGACAACAGGAAAAGATCAGTACCTCCCTGGGAGTCCTGATTCTTGAGCCCGGCTGCAGCGAGAACATGGATCTGGGATACCACTTGTGGGTAACCACACATCCCACTCCAGCAGGTATGTGGTGGCTCATCCAGTGTCAGCTCTCTGCAAGGAAAGACATGTGTCCTTTGGGAGATTCCCAGTCTTACCCCATGGGCAGGCCAGAGAGTTTGCTCTAGCAGGACAGGAGAACTATGCACTGTCAGATTCTGCTCCTCACTCTGGTCTCCCCCGCTTGGGTTTGGGATGATCTCCCATGTCATGCTCAGGAGAAGAGTGGGAGCTTCTCTGCATGTCTTTTGGCTACCTTTGAAAGGAAACCAAACACCATCTCCAGACAAGCCTATGATCAATTCCAATCAGGAAAACCACACGTCTCCAAATAGCCAGCTCCTCCCCATCACCACTCTTGCTTCTTACCTGCAATCTGAAGGCACATCTGTGAATATCCTGAGAAGGAACTCGCCTACATGACCAGGGTCAAAAGTGGTGGGGATGATGACATAGCGGCCTTCCTTCAGGTCTGTCCTCAGGAAGACACTGCGGGAGTTGATGTAAATGGAGCTGGCCACCTTCTGCTGCAGGGTGTGCATCCGGTAGTTCCTGTTCAGCTCCACCTGGGAAGACACCACAGCGGGATGGTCAGAAGGACAGCACTATGTATGACAATGGATTTGGATCCACCTTGGGGGGCCAGACTGCAGGGATTGAGCCCACAGTGCTGGGAGAGCTGGAGTTGAGGCAACCAGCCAAATGGTCCCAACTGGGCTGGGTGGAAAACTGGATGGGGCTCTCCCAGCTCTGTTGGCTAAAGGATTCTGTCTCTTGCAATAGCTTGACGCTGGGGTCCCAGCAAGCAACACATTAGTCTAATGGGTTTCAGCATCTGGAGGTAACAGACCATTGCTTTTAGCACAAAGAACTTGTCCATGCTGTCACCTCTGAAATCTCTAGAGGGGAGCAGACAGTGCTGAAAGCACCCCAGAGGCACCCAGATAAAGCTTAAATCAACAATACCAATGGTCATGCAGGACTGATGTACCACTCCATCACTAACAAATGTACGGGGGTATTCAGGCCAAGATGCAGGAACCATGCTCTACCTTATGGATATCAAAGCCTATGGCCAAGTTTTCTCCTTTGCCCTCTTTGCGACTCGTCCTTTTTGGCTTCTGCTGGATGGAGATCAGCACTTCATCTTCTGCCTTCTTTACATCAAATATGTACTAGGAACAAAGGAAGGAAGTTAAGGGATGACTTCAACTAAGACACGACCACTGGGTATGGGTGGACACACAGTAGAGTTCTCCTCACCCACCTCACTGCAGAGGCAGCCTGGCTTCAGTACCAGCACTAAGAGCCTATACCCACTCCTCTTGGGAACTAGCATCATCCTGCCAAGACTTTTTTGGCTCCCAGAAAAAGATTGGGAAATCCAGTCTCTCAGTTGCTCATTAGAGTCCAAGGAGTCTAGATGTAGTCTCAGAGCAGAGACTTTCACCCCATGCAGTCTGCCACAAGTCCTCCTATGAGGCATGGAAGGAGGAACCGATGTTCACAGACACCTAAGACTAAGGCTAATACAGAGCTGGAAGTAGGAAACAACTGTCCCACATCCTTGATGACAGCTCCTGTAATGGACCAGACCATTCATCTGGTTGTTAGATGAAGGACTCACAAGAACTTGTCTCATGTTACTGAGAATCACAGTCCAAAGCAGGACAGGAGAGAAGAGCTTGTTCCAGGAGATGAACTTCAGAGCAGGGCCTTTCCTGAAGGAAATGGCCCTAAAGACTACACCTGTCCTGGTGAATTTAATAGTGCCAAGATTTGGCCAAAAGAAGGAATGATCATTCAGACATCCAAATTGTTGGAAATAGCTCTGTTTGACTGGCACCAGCTAACACTGCAACCCTGTGCCACAGTCTGCTGTTTGCTTGCGCCAAGGTGCTCTACACCAGGCACTTGGGTGCAGTCTCCCTCATAACAGGGACAAGGTTAATAGAGTTGGCCTGGATGCAGGTCATGCTGTGCTAGGGGTCTCAGCCAGAGAAAGGCCATGAGCACATTCAATCTACCAGAGGCCTGGTAGCTGTTTTGCTCTTCTAGGTCCCTGTAGGTGATTCAAGCACTTGGAAACACATGTGAAGGCTCTGGAAGATCCTCTGCTCCATCACTCACCTGGGGGTTCTGCAAAAAGGTGTCCTTGTGGTTGATACAGCCTCCACAGCGGTTCTTCAAGGGGTCACTGTTTCTGGTCCATGCCCCGTGTAGCACTGCCTCCTCCCAGGTCTTGTGGATGCTCAGGTAGGACGTGTTGATGAGACGGCACTTGATGATGTCCGTGAAGTATTTGCAGAAATCTTCAAAGGTCATCCTAAGTCAGGACAGGACAGAGCTGGGTTATGCTGCTCCATCCCCCTCAACAGTACACTGAAGGATCATAGAATCATTGGAAAAGACCTTCAAGATCATCAAGTCCAACCTTTACTCCACGACTGCCAAGGCCACCACTAACCCATGTCACTAAGGGCCTCGTCTACACGGTTTGTGAACACTTCCAGGAATGGTGATTCCACCACTTCCCTGGGAAGCCTGTTCTAATACCTGATCACCCTATCGTAGACATAGAGACCATGTGTGAGTAGCCTCTGATGGCTGCTGAATAACAAAAGAGATGGAGACACCTTTCTCCATGTATGCAGTAAATACTTCTTGAGTTTAAACAATACTGTTACATGTTTCAGAGTGGGAGAAGCAAAGCAGTGGCCCTTCCTCCATACATCTTGTATTGAAACAAACGTTGTGAGCATATTAATTCATAAAGGTTCCCAGTACCCTGGTGAAACACCTTGGACCCAGTGTGATACAGAGCAGCTTGCAGTCCTAGGGTGATGGCCATTCAAAGCTAAGACCCATGGACTCAAGAAGGAAGCTTCACTAAAGATCCTAGGGCTTGGAAGACTGTTTGTTCTTGATAGCTGTGCACATGGAGATGACTCACATGCTTCATGGGGTGAGAGGACTTTGTGGGCATGGCCCATGGTGACAACCCCAGGAAGGACTCACCAGAACTCTCCATCGTCTTCCACCGTCATCCCCATCTTCTCTCTTTCACTTTTACTCACTTTCTGCCACTCCTCAGAGCTGTGGGAAGAGTTCAGGATCATTAGAGTGAAGACAAGGGGACACACAGGAACTCAAGAGGCCACTTGGCCTCAGCAGATCTGCCAAGGGCACAATGCCTGTATAAGGCTCCAGCAATGCAACCAGTCCCCACACTGCTCTGGTTAGTTCATCTTTCAAACATGAGGGGAGTGCAGCATGGCCTGGAGCTTCCTAACCAGTGGACCTGAATCCAGCTTGGCGAGACTTTGGCCAATACAATCTCAACTCTATCAGTGGTTCTTCATCCCACCCACTGACACCACAGAAGTCAGTGGTGGCAGAGATTGATTCTGTTGGGTGCTATTTTTGCTGGAACAAGACTGGGAGCAGAACAGTGAGCTATAATCATCCTGTACCAGTGTGAATGTAGAGTATTACACACTTGCAGTATCACCACAACACCCACCAGAGCATTAATGAGAAGGTTTGCCAAGCTCAACCACCCTCCTGCTGACCTCCAGGACCCCAAGCAAGGAATGAATCCACCCCAGTGAAATAGTAGGTTTAGGACAGCATCCCAATACGACGTTATCCTATAGGTGTGGATGTAGTCAAAGTGTCTCATGTCTCAAGCCTTGCTCCGACCCAGCTTTTCCCCCCTCCAGCAGAGGTGCTGCTGCTCCCCCTCCTAACTCACGTGTCACTCCAAGGTCCGTTCCACTCCCGCTCGCCCCACGGGTTGCGCATGCGGATCATGTCCAGCTTCTCCGACTTGAAGAAGGACAGGAGGCCATGGCCCAGGCGGACCTTCCGCACGTCCGTCACCGCGTACGCGTGGCCCTTCACCAGCCCACAGGCCAGGCGGGCCTCCATGTCTGCTGCTGAGGTGGCCTGGGCATGGGGACACAGACACTGCTTGCACCAAGGGGATGTGATCGCCTTTGCAGGGACTACATGGGGCTTGGAGCAACCTGCTCTAGTGGAAGGTGTCCCTGCCCATCGCAGGGGGTTGGAACTGGATGAGCTTTAAGGTCCCTTCAACCCAAATCATCCTATGATTCTATGATTTTAGGTGCTAGGTCCTTCCTGGTCTTCATCTGCTGCATGAGGCCTCTGAGCAGCCATACTGCCAACCAATAAAGTTCATTCTACTGGTTGTAATGGGAGGTTTGGCACCCAGTGTTTGTAGAGATGTCCACACACAGACACCAAAACATCTTTCTCTGGAAGTGAATCCCCTCCTAACATTTAAAGGGTGGTGGGATGAACCTGGGCTTTTTGACATAGCAATGAGGAACAAAGAGGGCTGGCATCCAGGCTTAGCTCCTTTTGCCATCCATAAGTAGGAACCCTTCGCCGTAATTTATCTGATCTAATTTAGAAGTCTCACACAATATAAGACACCTGCACCCTCAAATGCCTGTTCCCATGAGACTGTGACCACACAGGTAACATTGCTTACTTTGATGGAGCAGCTAATGAGGCCTCCTCGGTTGTGCACCTTCAACACACGCTCAAAGAGGAGGTTTCGCTTGGCTTCATCAGCAATGTAGTCCCCTTCTGTTAGGTCAATAGGTTCAGAGACCCCACCAGTGAAGTCTACCAGGGCATCAGCTGTGTTGCCTCCATCCAGGGCCTCATAACAGCCTGACAGCCTGAAAGAGGGTGACAGGGATGGCACAACACTGGCTTGACATTTGAAGGGGTTTGGGAGAGTTCTTGGGGCAGGCTGGAGAACAGAGATCCATAACAAAATGGGTGAAGATAGCAAAGTAGAAAGAAAATGTAAGACCCATGATGCATACAGCACTCTTGCTGTCATGGGACAAAGCAATGGGAACTTGAAACCTCTAGGATAGGTATTACTTAAACTAATGTGGAGTTGGAAGATCTTTTGCTAGAAGGGTTTTCTCCTCACAGTCTTTGTCTGTTTGAGATATGTTCTACTTCCTCTTAGGAAACCTTTTGTTGCTACTGGTGCAAACCAACTGATGAATGAACAGAGAGGAAAAGCAGGGTACCCCGGGCTCAGTTTGTCCTGCCACTGCTCAGGTACCTACTTGGCATAAGCCTTCTCCACCAAGGCGCACCAGAACTCGTTCTTGGAGTTGGAGTGGCAGTAGATGAGTTGGTTGTGGAGTGTGGGCAGGCGGTCATCGATCACCACGTCCAGCCACTGGCCGAAACGCCAGAACTGGAAGTGGAAGATCCCCACATAGTTCTCGGGTTTCTCAGAATTCCACTCCTGCTCCTTCCAGTCTGGGATGACCTGCAAGAGAGAAGGCACATGCACCCCGGTTTATGTGCTGGGTTTGACTCTCATCCTGGGACTAACACAGACAGGATCAAAGACAAGGAAGAGCATGAGGTGGATGGACTTGCTTACATCTCGTTGGGGACAGTTTCTGGACCTGGTTCTTCTAATGCAGACGAGATTAACATGTACTGGAACAGCTCAGACTTTGATGGAGCTAAAGATCCTTGTCCTCTTTCTTACCTTGAACATCTGCTGCCATCTACTGCTGTAGACAGGCTATTGGGGCAGATGGTTCTTAGTCTGATCAGAGACGGTTATTTTTATGACCACATTTCTGTTAACTTCATTGTCAGTCGGGTACCACTAAGTGAAGGCACCTTCTTTGATGCTGTTACTTGATTCTGGTGTGACTTGCCTGGCCCAAGGGTAAGTGTTGTATTCATCTACCTGGTGGCAATGAACCAGACACACTGTGTACATCTACTCTGATAAATAAAAGTGGGAATAGCGAGATTCCCATGCCCACAACATCTCCATTCTTCCCTGTCAAGAGCTACCATATTTATCCAAGCAAGGATGGGGAAAAGAGAGCCTGGGGGGAAAGAAACCCTAAAGCGGCTGAGCGGTTGAAAGAGTGCAGGTTTGATGTCACCTCCATCTGCATTGCCAGTGGGACAAGCATGAGCCAAAGTCCATAGTCCTTTGTGGCTGCAGATGTCACCAGCTTTGCTTTGGATGGAAAATCCACCCAACAGATGGGACAGAAATGGGCACAGCCATGCACAGATGCTACATCTAGCAAGATCTGCAGTGCCAGGACATAGAGGCACACAGCAAGGAACTGCCCCACCACAGCTTAGCTTTTGTTGAAGGTGAAGGCAGCGTGGCTCCACTTCATGGCCAGGGTAGGCTGTGAGGTCATGTATAGATAAAGTAGTTGATAGTTGACAGGTACTGACCAATTCAGCTGCATTAATGTGAACAACTGCCCACACCTTTGCTTCTTACCAGCTCCCAAAGCACCATGACCTGAGCAAGGAACAATCCCAACATTCCTAAGGGAAGAATTATGTTCCAATATGCCAAATAATCACTGTACTGTGGACACAACAGTGAGTGTCGGGGTAGAATAGGACAGGACACAGCTACATCACATGGTAAGAGGCTCTTCAGGAAGCCCTGTGCCATTGTGAGACCCCCTTCACTGTGCCTTGGCCCTTGTCTAGTTGCCAGAACCTTCTGCTTTTATCTTTTGGCTGCTGTCACAAAGCCACAACCCTGCAGATATATTTCTCTCTGGAGAGTCCACTGACTCCTTAACTATGAGCAACAATCCAGCCTGCAGCTTTTAATGCTCCAAGGCTGCAATATTAATGATGCCCTCGACCCCCCAAACTCACTGGCACTCCTGAGTTGTCTGATCAATAGAAGAAGAGCAGACAGAGCCATGGAAAAGAGCTGCTTTTGGAGGGTTTGGTGTTTTCCAGGAGTGCTAACAGCCATGTCCCAGACTCCCGCTGGGAGAGTGCCAGGCAAGGTCAGACAAGCTTCCATCAGTCCCCATCGATTCCCTCCTGACTGGAGCTCATCCTAATGAATTGTCATAGAGGACCATTGTGCTAATCAATTTGCTGTTAATGTGGGCTTAGAAATGATGATGGCATTGATCAGAGGCAGCAGAGCAAGCTTCCAGCTGGCTGGTCTGAGACTTGCCATTACTGTCAGTGGTGGCAGAAGATACCAGTCCCCACCATCCTCCTCCAACCCTTCATTTGGGAACAGCACTGAAAACACCCTCTGCTGCTGAAGGCAGCAAAAGTGGTTGGATCACTAGACCAGGATCCAGGACTGGTTGTATTTCTACACCAACCCAAGGGCAATGAGAGGAGCCTGATCTTCAGAGCTTGATCTCCAGAGCCCAATCTGCCATCAACGTGCCAAAGGGCAAGGTGTGAGCTCAAACACCAGGTTCTTCCACCAGAGCACAGCATCCCACCCAGGCCAAGGATCCCTTCAGTTGCTTCACCCCGTGACCAAGTCAAGGTGTCTGTGACTCCCCTGGCTGTAGGGGAGAGGTGGCAGCTATGGATGTGGTGCCTACTGGGACAACCCCTGCCTGTGACCTGACACTGCCTATTACCTGTAGGATTAACATGGGGCACATCTACAACTCCCAGCAGCAGCTGGACCCCTCATGGAGATCATGCAGCTGAGGTCCACAGCTCCCACCTACTCCCAGGAAACCTCCTCCAACATCTCCATCCCTCCTCAGTGGATGCTGGAGAGCATGCCATGGATCACCCATCCCAGGATCCCACTGAGTCCTGGACTCAACTTGGTTGGGTGACACTGAGGCAGTGGAAATACTGGTCCCCACCATCCTCATTCACCCAAATGTGCTGCTTTTTGCTTAGGGGCTCCCAAAATCTGGAGCTGTGACACCCTTCAATGGGACAAATTTACAGTGAAAGGGATCAGAAACAGATAAATGGGGAGCCCAGAAACACCAGATTCTTTTCCCCAAGCTGGTTTAGGGCTAAAGAGTGGCTAATGAAGAGGAAAGGCACCTGTGATCCTGGAGAAACATCCCTGCTCAGAAGTAGGAATTGGTAGGTGCTGATTCCTCCAAGTAGGGGGTCTTCTGCTGGGAACTTGCCAGCTCAGGAAGGGGAGGGAAAGACCCAGCTGTACCATGTGCTGAACCATGGTACAAACCAGGATGAAATTCCCCTGGGAGACGGGACAGAGTGGTGTATCTGAAAGCCTTTATGGGATGCTGAACCTGTGTAGGAAGAGTTCCAGTGACTGGTATAAAAAGACTCATTTTCCCTGCACTTAATCTTCCCTCCCTTTCCATGAGGGAGATCTCCCACTCCTAGCTCTGATGGAAAGGAGGATCCACCTGAGGATCATTTCCCTTCCTCTGCCCAGCTTCCAACCCCTTCCCAAACCACACAAACCTGCCAAATGCTCCATTAAGCCCCTTGAAACAAGAGAAAAGAAGGTAAATGTTCATTTTACTGTTTACAGGACATTAAAAGGTGCTCAGAAATACCAACAGCGAGTTTGAAATTGGTGGGTGGTGCTTTATTGTGTGCAGGATTAGAATAAGAAGACATGCACAGCCTTGGTCCTTAAGGGGAACCCTGTTGACCAGGCTTTTATTTACTGTGGTACATCAATACCCAGTGAGGTATCTGCAGCAAGAACTCTACCCCAGCAGCCAGCAGCATAGCAATGGTACAGCATGAGACCTGGAATGCAAAAACCCCTCAGGGTGTTGGAAGTGGCTCCTGCTATTGGGTCTGATGTGGTTTGTAGTCAGGAGCAATGCTCTGGGATATACAAGCAGGGGTCTCCTATGGGAAAGTCTGCAAGGACTCTAGAAGTGGGTTTGGTCCACAGTGGGTCCATGCTATGGCCAAGAAGGGATCATAGAATGGTTTGGGTTGAAGGGACCTTAAAGCTCATCCAGTTCCAACCCCAGGGACACCTTCCACTAGAGCAGGTTGCTCCAAGCCCCTGTGTCCAACCTGGCCTTGAAAATTCCAGGGATGGGATGAATCCATTTTTACCTCTCCTCACTGGAGTCCAGCATTTCTTGGGATCTAAACGAAGACATTAACCTCTCTGGCAACATCCATGGTCGTATGGTTTGGTGGTAGTTGAGCTTTGCTTGTGAGCAAGACTCAAAGCTCCCACCATCTCTCCAGCCAGTAGCTGATCTTCCTCCTTTCCTTCTCCTCTTCACCTGGCATAGCTTGTGCTTATCATTTTATACACTATTGTGCTGAGGAGGGCATGGAGTCTGCATCTCTGGGGGCTTTGAAGAGGTTGGACTCTTTGGGGGATGGTCCATGTAAGTCAGCAGGCCATGGGTACAAAATCACCTTGTCCTGGCTTTCCCATCACTGCCCTTTCCTTACACAGCTTAGGATAATCTCAGACCATACCTTGAGGAGCACTCACCACATTGGACTGAAATCTTAGTAAAGAACCAATTGTAGTAATACTTGATTCTTTCAAAGGATTGTTCTATACTTGGGTCTCAAGAAGCTTCATAAAGAATCCCCCACTTTTCGGTGGAGTGAAAGAGAACGTCCAAAGTCATTAGTTTATTTACAGCCATAGAACAAGCCAGACACAAACCACCTTCCTGCTCCTAAACTTGCTTCTCCCCTCTGCTCCCATGGCCACCCAGACACCATTCCCTGCCTCAGCAGTTGCAGAGGGTAGGAGACAGCAGGTTCCTGCTCTGTGGTTTGCAATGTGCTCTGCAGCCTCACAGCTCTACACACGCTTCAAAATAGACCCATTCATGGGTGCTTTAAGGCCACAGCAAGGCACAGATTGCTTTTGCTGCAGGGCAGTCACTGCTGGCTCGTACCTAGAGCCTGCTCTGAGCTGCTGGCTTGCTTGCCCTGCTCTGCACACACAGAAACACTCCAACCCATCTGAGGACCAACAGTGTCCTTGCAGCCCAAGGTGAGCAACGTGTTGCAGTACACCTCCCCACAGTGACCCCCAGCAAGAAATGGTGGTGGCTGTCAGAGCAGGGATGCTCCATCCTCCCTGCACCAGTTTGTCCAGTGTGTTTGCCATCTGCAGAACATAGTGTCCAAATGTACTTCAGCTTCACAGCAAGCTGATCCTCCATGGGACTGGCCTTCAGAGACACCAAGCAGCGACACCATTCAGCATCCTTGCAAGGAGAAGCACTCCATCTCAAACAAGCCTGCCCTTTGCAATAGATAGGATGGAAACTGGAATCCAGGGCTCTCTCCAGGTTGTCTCTCCTGTGCCCAGAATGGCAATTTCATGTTTTTCCATCAGGCTTTTGCTGGGCACTTGCCACATTTGGAGGGCTTAGAGCAACCTCATGTTTCCAAGCCAGCAAG